ATCGTCTGCCCGGCACCAGGGCGAGTGACGGCGTAGCCAGACGACGACCTCGCTCAGGGGTGTGCCGCTGTAAGCGCGGGCCGTCGCAGAGGCAGCTGCGCGGCGAAATATAACGACAGCGATGTGTAAGCTGCTCCCATTGCTAGCTCTGTGTCTGTCTCTGCTTGGCTCTCTCGCTCTCTCTACCTCCCTTGCTCTCTATTTTCTCTCTCACTCTCTCTCTCTCTTTTCTCTCTCTCTCTCTCTTATCTCTCTTGCACTCTCTATTTTCTCCGCTCTCTCTGCTTTCTCTCGGTCTCACTCTCTCACTGCGCTCTTCTGTTCTTTCTCTTTCTCTCTCTCTCTCTCTTCTCTCTCTCTACTCATCTCTCTTCTCTCTCTCTCTCTCTCTCTCTATCTACTCTCACTCTCTCGGTCTCTCACTATCTCTCTCACTCTCTCTCTCTCACTCTCTCGCTCACTTTCTCTCTCTCTCTCTCTCTCCTCTTTCTCCCATTGCCTCTCTCTCTCTCTCTCTCTCGCTCTCTCTTCCTCTCACCTCTCCCTCTTACTTCACACATGCACACACACCACGCACGCACACACACACAACACACACATCTCTCTCTCTCTCTCCACTATATCTCTCTAGCTCTCGCTCTCCCTCTCTCTCACTGCACAACACAATTCTTTACCCCACTATTATCATGAATAAGACCCTAACCTTGCACAGAAGCTCTAGTGCTGCCCTCTGCTGGCCACTCTCTGCAGCACCTGCGTACATGTCCAGTAGGTGGTGAAACGCACTTCTATCGCCTTTATTCTGTAAAATCATCATTTTCAGAATACACTACTGATGGGGGAAGTAACCACAAATTACAACTCACTCATTGAGATTAGAGGAATAACAAAAAAATGCAAATTATGTTTCAATGGTTATATATACCATAATTATATATGTGAATAATCAATAACACAATAACAAATTTAATCAAAATAGCATATAATAATATAACAGCATAACAATGCAACATAAAATATTTATATATATAAACGCAATATACAACAAAGGTTTAAACGATATCAGCAGCATGCCAACACATATTTTAAAGCAATCTGTTAGTTTCTGGCCATCAAATTAGTTAGTTCGGAGCGGTCACGCTAGCTGAACCGAGTTTCCTAGGGAGCCGTCCGGCATGCCCCCCTGGAAAAATTTTTGATTCTGAGTATGCCAATTCCTGCCATCCTGGGTGAAAAAATTTACAATAAATCGAAAAAAAATGACTAATTTTTTTCCCCCGATCACAGTGAAATTCGTAGTTTGAAATACAACTGATCAGCCGAGTGCTGCCCAAAAGAAATAAGAAATTCGTCAGTAAAATACGACATAAATCGTTATGTGGTTGCATCACTGCGATATAGTAACATAATATGACAGCATAATAATACAGATAACACTATAATATCAATACGTACATAATCACATGTACAATGTAATGTTTATATTGTCCCGTGACTATGTTCACCCAACTACTAGATCTCACACCCTCAAACCTCATGGACGTATCCCAGTCTGCACCTCGCTACTCTGCGACCTTGACCCTGCGACCTTGACCTCGCGATGACTCACCGTGCGAAACCAGGAGAGCTCCACGCCGGAGCGCTAGCTATCAGCTTCAGGATGACCAGTTGCATGGCAACCCATGAAGCATCCTCATCCTCGTCTTTCCTCAGCCCTCCCGCTGCAAAACATTGTTAATTAAAACGATGACAAAAGCAGTGCAGTGTCAAAGCTATGTCAAAGCAGAGCAACTAAACTACTAACGTAACTATAGCATCTACATGAGACGTGAAGGCTTGAATTCGATACTTAAATAAATCGTAACTGTATCACACCAATAAAATATACAGTTCTGAAACTCAATAATCCTATGATCCTCATTATCAGTACTATAATTAATATTATTACTACAATTTCATTGCTATTATAAATAACAATTCTATTCTAATTAATAAATCAAATTTCATATAATTAAATAATTTATGCATTAATAACATATAACAATATGTTTCACATAGCTATCATTATAATAAATACGAAAATTAAATACGACTAATATATAATCGCATTTATATATAACTAGAATTATTATATTACTAATAAATAATCATAAATTATTACTATCAACATAAAACAACGGAAGCTACGCCCCCCCCCGATAGTTATAACAATATAATATAATCAGGAGTAGATAAATAGAGATCTATATTATCCACTCCTGATATAATTTATATATTAAACATATAATAATAATATAACTATCATTATAACTATCATTATAAATACGCCCGTCCTCACCGCGTCCGCTCCCGGGTCATCGTCGTCATCGTCGGCGTCGGCCGCGGACGACTGGACGCCGGTCAGCAGTCTACCGACGTCAACGGCGCGTTCGTGGAACGTGGCGTGAGGGAAGAGATCCTGGTGCAGCGAGATGACCTGTAGGATGGTCAGCATTCGCCTCCGTCCACTGGTCAGTGCAGCCGCTACACACACACACATGGAGGACAAACGTAGCTTCTTCGTTTTGACATAATTCGTACTTTTGCCCACGGACAGATTGCGTTTTTCACGCTTAGTATTTACCGTATTCTGCGCGATGCCTAAGCCTCCAAATTCAGCGCACACAGCTACTGAAGCGAGGCACGGCAGGGATTTGTCATTATCACGCTCCTGATACACACATGCACCGCACACGCACAAGCACGTACACGAACGCACGCACATAGAAGAAAAAACACATGGACACCCACGTAGATATAGCAAATCATAACATAGAAAAAAAAGTGTCAATTTTTATCTATTACAGTTTGATCTATTTATTAAAATTGATACCTTATTCTATTTTTCTATGTTATAATCTTCTCTCTCTCTCTATATATATATATATACACACATAGCATTATACACGCACGCATGCACACATCTATTGCAATGGTATAGGTGAAATCATCTTTCGATTTTTCACAACTGTTCTGGATATCTTTGAATTTTACTTCGAAGTCGATTAAGGATGATGACTCACGACACGAAGATGAATCCAAGGCCTTGCTCAGGTCTATATCCGTTTCCATGGTAGTGTCCATCGAAAGAGACGTGTCCATGGCAACGGACGTATCCACGGCAACCGACGTGTCGGTGGTAACAGACGTGTCCATGGAAGCAGATGTGTCCAATGACGACTTGTTTACTGTGCGATCCCAAGCTTGTAGAATCAGAGGCAGAGGTTGGCGCCAGGTGGGGGACCCAGCTACTGCTACGAATGGCCGCAAAACCAAATTAAAGAGTAAACAATGTACATGTATTTAAAATTTTATTTGTAATTAGTACTCACATCATGCTACATCGTTATTTAAATATGGTATAATGTGTGTTCACATTGTACATGTATTTATATGTATAATTTGTGCTGTTCTAATGTACATGTATTTATATGTATAATGTGTGTTCACATGCTTACATGTATTTATATGTATAATGTGTTTCACAGTACATTGTATTTTATATGTTATAATGCAGCCGGTGTGGTTCAGCATGTACATGATATTTATACGCTTATAATGTGTGCCTTCACATGCTACATTGTATTTATATGTATAATGCTGTGCTTCACATGCTACATGTATTTATACGTTTATAATGGTTGTTCACATGTACATGTATTTATATATGCTGATTTATAGTATGTACGATGCTATTTATGTATAACAGGGTGTAAAATCGGAGTCAAAATACTCCTGTGATTTACTGTAGGTACTCGGCTTGATTTGACATTATGGCAGGAGTCCGTGCGACCCCCTGAAATATCTGCTATACTAACTAGTTTGTTTCAGAGGCACGGCCATCAGTCGGACATACCATAATTTTTTCAGTAAAAAGTTGCCAAAGAAATTTGGCATATGTGCAAACCGCCATGAATCTTCCAACATAAGCCCACGTGCATTAATGTTAATATCTTTAATTTTGAACTTCAGACTGTGGACTCCCTCGTGTATTGCATCGCAAAGCATTACACCACACGTTACACACATTGCGACTAAAGCTAACAACTAATGTTAATTGGCATGCGAATAAAAAACAATTATTTTTTTTTTTTTTTTTTTTTTTTTTTTTTTTTTTTTTTTTTTTTTTTTTTTATTTTTTTTTTTTTATTTTTTTATAGCCAACAAGAATAATTAATTACAAATTGATGATTCGGCACATATGAGTAGCACCACCAATTTCAAACAATAAAAATATTCAGAACAGTGAAAATTCAGCGCGTCAAAAAAAAAAATGTAAACAAAAGCTAACGCACCTTGGCAAGCGCATCGTGGTACTGTTGCGTGAACCGCTCTGCGTCACTGCCCGTTGCCATGGCGACAGTGATGGCGTTGGCGCGGCGTAGGATGAGTCGCAGCAGACGCAGCGATTCGTGCTGTATGACCGCATGCTCCTTCTGAAAACACACACGACGTAAACGTAGGCTATCGTTTACGTCGTTTTGTTCTCGTTTGATTATTGATTTCTTTGTTGTGTTGTTGTTGTTGTTAATTGTTGTTGTTGTTGTTGTTGTTGTTGTTGTACCTGCATGTTTGTACTTTTTTTCTGTTTTGTTGTTGTGTGTTTGATTGTTGCTCGAATTGTTGTTGTGCTTGCTCTGAAAGTCACACGGATTTTGTTATTGTTTAATTGTTCATGTTTTTTTGTTATTGCGATGGCTTATAGAGGTTTTTTGTTTGTTTGTGCTTCTTAATTATTATTTGTTTCCCTGTCATTGTTGTTTATGCTGTTGTTGTAAACAAGAAATCAAATAGACATTTATTAGAAAAAAACCTCTATTTCTATGCCACCATTATTATACATATAATAAACGTCACCCATATATACTATACATGCACTATGGCTGAGAGGGTCTACAGCGGTTTCATAGTAGTTAAGACACATGTGAAATATAGCGACTTAATACGACCCTTCGTCTGAAGGCCAAAATAAGACTTTTTTTACGCCGATTTCTGATAGATCACCGACTATTAAAGCGTACTACTAATAATATTATATATACACAATTGCACAGCAGATTAAATTATTCCGTATTATACATACAACAATTCTTACTCTAAGTCAGAGAGAACAGTTTAGAAACAAAATGATTCCTTTTTGGCAAAAAATAAGGACTATTTAAGTACTTTTCTAGAGATTTCACCAAAAATAATACTAATAAGCGGCCCTTATTTTTGATTTTTGGCAAAAATAAGTACTTATAAGACTTTGGAAGACCCGCTTACGGAACCTGGTCTATGCCCCAGGTTGCCTGCCGGAACGTACCCTGGCTACTATCTAATATGCGGGACCGTACCTCGCCCTACTCAAAACCTACCGAGTCTTAGGGAGTCGGCCTACGCCTACTCCCTAACCCTAACCATTATCGATATAGTGTACCAGCGCGGTAATGTTCGTTCCGGCCCAGCCACCCTGGGGTACATGAGACCCTATGAGCTGCACTATGTGTATAATATATACCATCATATTATTAAAACCTCCGTTATTAATCAAAGCTGATTGTTACTATACTATTTCACTATATATACGACTTACCATATATCATTACTAAATATACGGTGTACTATATATGTTATTAGATACTACTTGTTAGTACTACCCAGCTCACTCACCCTTTCAGCGTCTTTGATGTAACGTTGGCACCCGTCATCACCTGGCGGAACAGACAACACCATCGCCATGGCAACCTTTCTTGTTGACATTCTCTGCAGCTGACTAGAGATGTGATGGGCAGCGTCTTCAGTAGATCTGTGACGGAAGTATCATCGCATAAATTCGGTAACGATTGCCATAAAAGACACAGACAAGCTTCAGGCTACTGCGACAAAATGGCCATGCGACGCAAGGTTTTTTTCTAAATATATTAATTATTATTATGACAGCCTCATTATTACTTATATTGTGTTATTTGCTATTATTTTATGTGACAATTATATTACACTTTAATATGATGAAGTATACTTATTTATATATATATTACATTATAACCTGTTATATTACCTGACATTATATTATATTCACATTATAATATCCTAATATTATATTCATATTGTACTATCATTATAGTTATATTACATAATATTCAACTTATGACAGTACGATGATATTATATGTGCTGAGTTATAGTTAGTTAGTTATAGCTATAGTACATTATATTATAGTGTAGTATAGTATAGTATAGTACATTATATTATAGTGTAGTATAGTATAGTATAGTACATTATATTATTTATAATATTAATGCCTGTTGTTGGGGTGGCACTTATTGCTCTCATAGTGGGTTGCTGGGAGGGAAGGTATATGGTGCTCGAGCGGTAGCGAGAGGCCACTTTCTTTTCCCAAAGCAACACTATGACAGCATAGTGCCCCCAACAACCAGGCATAATGTTTTTAGCTGCATCACACGACTTGCAATCTACTTTTCATGGGTATATACCTTCTTTACTTACTCCTAATTTGCCGGTGCATTCGATGTGTACAAACAGCTCGACACAAACTACAACTGCCATTAATTTTCGAAACTCTTGCCGTGGCCGCCCAGACTGGCAGGAGATTCGTGACGTAAACACAAGAATGCCGTTATAATAACAATGCGTCGCGCAAGCAATCAGTGCCCGCCTCAACTATCGCTTCAATAGCTGCCTGCCGACGTTATGCCAATAGCGAATTTCCCAACGATTTATCACGTTGATGCACTAAAGTATAGTGTAGTAAGTATAATACATTATATATATATGTTTACTAGTACATTATAACACTGACCTCCCTCAGCCACCGGACGCTGGTCATCCAACCGACGGACGGCCTCGGCGCAAACAGATGCTGAACACTCGTCAGGTACTGACGAAGCTGGTCCGGACACGCCCGCAGCACGGCGGTGACGAGCGAGCGGATGCGCACTTGTTTCAGGGGATGCCCGACGTTGCCGTTATTGAAACTGCCGATTCATATGGTCTCTTGTTGTTCCTAGTACGAATAAAAATAGAACTACAGAATAACGATTGACGGAGCATGACGAACCTAGCAAACAATTAATGACACTAAAATAAATATGATAAATAGTAATAAAATAAATAATAAAATAAATAATAACAAATAACATGAAAATGCAATAAAATAAATTAAATAATAAAAATAGCCTTGAATCGAAAAAATAATAATATAGAAAATAAATATTATAATGAACAATTTAATAACAATGTTAATAATTATGATGCAGTGATCTCTACTTTATCGGGATAGGTCAAGAATCACGAAAATGTCCTGATTAAGCTGTGAACACATATTTTTCTGTGGACACGCCCACCTACCTGTCCCCTACGCAATATACTCTATGTGGCACCACTCTCACACGTGGTGCTGGCCTTACAACAATACCATCATATCTACGTTTGAACCAATGAGAACTCATCATGCATTGTATGGCACATGCGATCAGTATACACCAGACGCTAATGGCTTAGTTAAGAACACCTAGGAATGGTGAGTTTAGCTCTAAAAATGCTTTGTGAGCACATCATGTTCAGAATTCACTGGGAGACCAAGAATTGTCAGATTGCTTATACGTTTAACATACTTTTATAACATTTACTTAACAAGGAAGGCTGTTCTGCTGTTAATATATATGCTGTATATATTAACAGTTATATAATTATTTATGCTGTTAAGGTACCTTG